TGGGAACTCTTTGCATGCGTTACAAAACAAGAGGAGTTGCCAGATGTTCCACACTTTTCAAATCCAGTCCTTATTTAATAGCTATAGAACTGTGAATTCAGAAATCTGGGGTTTATGCTGCTAGTTAAAAGGCAAAAAAGCTCTGTGGGTTCTGGCTATGAACACTTTTTTTTTTTTTTTTTTCAGTTTTCTAGTGTATACCTACACCCTCTTGCTTTATGCTTTACAGCTGTGCTGCTTTTGAGGCAGTTTCTTAACTGCATGACTTAAGTATCTGGCATTCATTTTGTTTATTTTAATACCATGGTCTAGCTTTATCCTTATTCACTGTGATGCCTTTTAAAAATACTAATTTATGAAAATGTAATAATAATGAAAAATGTAAATTTTTTAATTTACCCAAGTATTACATTAATACTGTTTTTCATCCTATGAACTAAGATTTGTTTATCCACAGTAGGAGCTGTTGGTGCTGCTGTGCAGCTGCTGGCATGAATTGAGTTACCGTTTGTTGCACTGCCTTCTTGAGACCCACTGAAGTGGCAGTTCAGAGAAGACCATCCAACACATGACTCTTAAAAGTAACTTACCTGAAGAGGTTATTCTTCTATTCTGATTACATTATTCTGCTGTGCTGTAAAAAGAAACTAGTAGAAAATAGAACTGGAGAGTAAGACAGATACGACTGACAGAGGGAGGTGTAACTATACAGGCACCGGTGATCTTGGCCAGTTGAGACAGGTAAGCTGGTGATACACGAGCTACTTCATTTGGATGCACTGCTGAGAAAATTGTGAAATTTACCTGCGCTGGGCTATTCTGAAACCTATACAACCTAAGGGATCAGGAAAAAATACACAATCAGGATAGGATATTCAGGTTACTGAAAAGCAAGTTTGACATTTAGAGTATTCAAACTCCATTTGCTTCCGTGTTCTTAGCAATCTGGGAAAAATTCTGCTATGAAAAAGAGTGTAACTAAGTCAGTTCAGTTGATGATACAGAAATTCTGGAATTAAACTGCAATGCTGCAGAGATTGTTAGTGATAATTCAGACTGCTATTTTTAAATTAAAGGATGACGTGGACATGACTTTGCTTCGTTCGTTTCATAGTATTTTTTCTATAGTCTCAATGCTAACCTACCTGATAGTGCAGTATTTTATTATGACTTTTGCATCTGGAAATTACATACATTTTAAAGAAATGTAAAAGAAAAGACACAACTACAATCACTCAGAAAGTTGTTTGCTTTAAGGTACAGGGTTCCAATTTCACTAAAAGGAAGGACTACTTTAATTCCACGTGTACTGAGACCTTGTCTCCAACTACACATAACAAATACACCCTAATAAATTTATAGAACCAAACATCAGTAGAAGCTAATCTTACAATAGAGACCAGTTCTCTACTACTGAAATTTGCGTTTTCCTAATTTGTTTAAAAAAAAACCAAAACAAAACAACTTGGTCCACAGACAAAGTAAAATGGGTAAAAGTAAGTCTCAGGTGAGCGAACATTGCCCTTTTTATTCATTTCCAGTTGTAGCGGTCCCTTGGAGGTAAATCATAATGTGTTCTCTCTTCCTCTTCAGGTCCATAATCTAATGGCAGACCATAATTGTAATCAACTGTTACAACTGGTAATCTTTTACTTTGTTCCATCTCTCTGGTAGTTTCACCTTGAAAAGGTTTTCTCTCATAGTCTATTGAACTATCTTGCTGGTGTACAGATGAAGATGGATGCATTGTTCGTGAAGAATATGGTGCAAATCTGTTTTTTCCTCTATTAAATTCATCTGAGGGATGCATTCTCCTATTGTCTTCAGGACAATTTGGTCGATTACTGTAAGAAGAACAGATATGAACAGTGAAATCCTTAGAAATAAAACAGCTGATTTATTGTTGGTGGCCACCATTAGAAATTAAACTTGTGTAACTTTGAAAGAACAATTCAGACCCTCATTCTTGTTTTTACCCCCTAAAATTAAAATCTTCTCTACCGGATGTTGCAAACTTGTCTATATTAATTTTTCGATTCTAGTGATTCAAATTACAGCTCTTTATAGTAAGTAATTCTACTAGAAGACGTTTTGTTTCAAGTGCTGTTTCTAATTAAAATTCCCTGTTTACAGAGTTTTTCTCTACCTAGGGGCCATTTTTGTTCCTAAGCCCATGTTTTCATTTTTGTGAATAATATGTAATAGTAGCTCCCTAGTACATAGTATCAACAGGCAATAATATACTTTGGATTTATATCTCCAAACATTTTAATTATTAATTCTTCTGCAACAGAAGAATCGCTCTCCTACAAAATACATACGGAAGGATCTAAAAATGCATATATGATACATATGCTTTTTGTTTTGGATTCTCCTTACTGTCAAGAACCTTCCTTACTTTGTAAAATAAGTGGTGTATAAAGCCAATTCAGAACAATCTTTGTAATTTTAAAATCTTCTCCCTCACTGAACCATAGATTAATTCAGACTGGAAAGGATCTCTAGAAGTACCTAGGGACACCTGCTCAAAGTAGGTCTAATTAGATGAGTTTGTGCATGGCCATGTCCAGCTGAGTTCCGAGCATCTCAAAGGATGGGGATTTCACAGCTGCTCTGGGCAACCTGTTTCCGTGTCTGACCAGCCCACGCAGTAAAACTCATTAGCTTGTTGTAGACAGTAGTTAAGAGTTAAATATAGCATCTGTGTTTTGCTTTTTTGCTTACTGACAATAGCTTTTCATATTTGTAGTACGTTAGCTTGAACTGTCCTTGTCATGACTTATGTCAGGGATTCTCAAACCATTTCATAACCACACTGAGTATAGATGGACCACAAATTAGTCACATTATTTGCTCAGTGTTCATATTCAATGGTTTAAACTGCATTTAAGCAAAAATATTATCATCAATTTTTACACTGTGCAGTTAATTTGTTTCTTCTTTTAGCTGGGAAACTGGGGGAGTAATAGTATAAAGGTAAGTCAGAAAACAATGTATGAAATCTGATATTTACCTGTAACTTCTGTTAAAGTCATCATTATCAGACCCATAATCTCTCTGAAGTGAAGGAGATGAGGAGAAATGAGGTTCTGGTACATTTTCATGGGAAGAAAAAGACTGACTTCTGCAAATAACCGAAAGAATCGCATGTTAAGAAAAGTACAAATGGTTGTAAGCTTTTGAAAAATATGTGTTTATCAGATGAGATAAAAATGTTTTTACTTTTAATTAAAATTTACTTAAAAGTTTAATAAAAACTATCTCAATTGTATTAACACCTCAAAATGGTATGCTTCATTGTAATGATATAATATCCTGTTTCAGCTGTATGATGGAAGAGATTAAATTGAACTTTACTAGCCCAACAAATATCTGAAATGCATTCTGAAATATTAAAAATATTTTGAAATGCTATGTCAGAATCCAATAGGTTTACTAATAAGTGAAATATATATTTGGGAGAATATAATGCAAGTTCAGAAGCAAAGGGATTTCTAAAAAATTATTAACTCATGGAATAAACAAACGCAAGTCAAACTTCCTTGTAGCATTACTGTTTATCTCTGTTTGGCTGAGGGCATAAATAAAACTTTGTATTGTCTTCTCTCTTGAGGATTGCTTTTTAAATGTAAGTTTCTATACAAAACAAAGTGGGACAAAGAGTTTTGTTTCAAGCTGACTCTAAAAAGGTAAAGGAAACACATAAGCTTTAATTTAAAGGAGCACAACCTTCTAATTTAGGAAACATTGGCTTTCAAAGCGCAACACTCTAGCTTACAATCAAACCCTTCTGTAAGCCAAAATAAAAAGTTAATTAACCTATCATTTATATATTATTTTAAAAGAATGATTAATTGATTTAAAATTAATTTATTTTTAAAAGTTAATTAATTTGAAATTTAATTTAAAAGTGCTGAGGTTTACATTTTTATTCTCTAATTCTGGTCTTACAGCTCAAGGATACTTTACCTGTCTGAACACCATTCACGTGGCAAGTCATCGTGACCTGGATGATCGTGAAAAGGTCTTGGCCTTTGTCCATGCCCTTTATTAACATAATCAAAATCTTTTAATTGAGTCTGTTCCTGTAAGTCATCATAAGGCTGATGGTCATGAAAAGGTCTACGCCTTTGTCCAGGACCTTTATTATCATAATCTTTTAGATGCATCTCTGTTTGTAAGTCATTGTGAGGCTGGTGATCATTGAAAGGTCTCAACCTCTGCCCACGACCCCTATTAACAAATTCAAAATCTCCCAACTGCATCTGTGGCTGTAAGTCATCATGTGACTGATAGTCATGGAAAGATCTCAGTCTTTGGCCAGGACCTTTGTTGACACACTCTAACTCTTTCAACTGCATCTGAGTCTGAAATTCATCATGAGATTGGTGGTCGTGGAACGGTCTTCGTCTCTGGCCACAGCCCCTGCTACCAAAATCATAATCCTTTGACTGACTGTCTTCCTGCAAATCACTGTGAGATGGATGGTCAGGAAAAGATCTCTGCCTTTGTCCACGGCCTCTGTTAAATTCAATGTCCCTCGATTGTCTCTCTGTCTGTAAATCATCATGAAACTGGTGTCCATGAAAAGGTCTCAACCTTTGTCCAGGTCCCTTGTTACTGAAGTCTAGGTCCTTCAGCTGCATGTCTTCTTGATAATCATCATAAAACTGGTTATCAGGAAAGGGTCTTTGCCTCTGTCCTGGTCCCCTACTGTAGTCCCAATTTCTCATCTGCATTGGTGCTCTTAAATCATCCTGAGTCTGATGGTCATGAAATGGTCTTCGTCTTTGTCCAGGTCCCTTATTAATGAAATCAAAATCTCTCAACTGTATCTGTCCTTGCAAATCATTGTGAGAGTGGTCATCATAAATTCTTAATCTTTTCCCAGACCTGTAAAGAAGTTTTCGTCTTAAATAGAACATCATACTTACAAGTGCTACAAGTCATTAATGAAAACAAGTTTTTTTAACTGAGAATTGATATGAAAGACATTGCAATTATATAAGTACCAAAGCTACTAAGAACCCAAACTGTAAGTAAGATTATAAAATTTTCAATGTCATAGTAGAAGCTGTGACAAACATTCAATTGTAATTCTATAGCACTGTTAAACAGGTAAAACCAGTGATTCAAAATTATTTAAAAATAACTGCAGATTACTGTAGAGTAATAAAGAAGGCAGGCGAAGTAAAACTCTAAATTTTTCCAAGTGAACTAATTACGGACTTCTAATAGCACACATTCTCTTTCTTTCCCTTATCTTTTCACTGTTTCATGAAATTCTGTAAATATATTTTGCATGAGTAAGCTATATTCATAAAATCTCTTTTAAATTAGAGTATCTACAGTATTTTCAATAAAAAACAATTATCTTTCCCATGGTGTGGTTTTTTTGGCTTTTGATTCCATGTTTCAGCCTATTACCCCTGAAAAT